CACTTTACAACACAGGTTGGGGTTATTATATACAGATTTCAATTATCGTCTGATCCTCATGAAAATTTTCACAAGGGTAGTATTAGGCTTAGAAGGGCTAGGTCTATCGTTTTCAAAGATGTCCGCAATATATTTAGAGGTTGAATGGACCAACAATTAAAAATATTCTGGATTTTGTAGCCGTTATAAAGGTCACAAATAGAAAACAAAAGACACGAAATCTCGCATGAAGTTAGATTTAGGACAAAAGATAGAATGGGCCACTACTTTTGTGTGAAAAAATACCAACACTACTTACAGGCGATATTCGAAATACACAAAAGGCGAACTTCCGACTTTTTTATGCTGATTTCGTGGAAGAATATAGCTAAATATCGTAGACCAGAAAATCATATAGATTAGTCTAGATTTGGAGATATAGAGGGGTCTCTTGCTTTTGGAGATGATCGCAAAATATTTAGGGGTTCAAATGAACCAAAAACAGAAAAATGTTCCTGATCACACAATTGAAGCCAATCGACACGCCTGAGAAGAGCGTTAAGGACAGGAAAAAAGTCTAACATTTTGTATGACCATTGGATTATATTTAGACGGAGTGTATAAAAATCCTAATTTCAACAGCGAAATCTTCCAATATGGATTTGGACATAAGGGGCGTCTAGTCTATTGTAGTGTTGTAGGGTATAATATAGTCGACCCGCTCGACTATAGCCTTTGCTTACTTGTTTCTATTGAATTCTAATATTGAAATGTAAAAAATGTGAAATTTGTAAAATTTGTTCACCTTACAACACAGGTTGGGGTTATTATATACAGATTGCAATTACCGTCCGATCCTCGGAAAAAGGGTGGGTTAGGCTCAGAAGGGCTAGGCCTTTAGTTTTCAAACATGTCCGCAATATATTTAGGCGTTGAAATGGACCAACAACTTAAAATGTTCCGGATTTTTCAGCCGTTATAAAGGACATAAATAGAAACCAAGGACACGAAATCTCGCATGAAGTTAAGGTTTAGGACAGCAGGTAGAATCGACCACTATTTTTGTCTGAAAAATACCAATATTACTAACAGGCGATATCCGAAATACACAAAAGGGAACTTGTGCCTTTTTTGCTGATTTCGTTGACGAATATAGCCAAATATCGTAGACAAGAAGATCATAAGATGAGTCTTAATTTGGAGATACAGAGGGGCCTCTTGCTTTTGGAGATGATCGCAAAATACGACGGAGTGCGTAAATATTGGGCAAATGTCCCTGTTCAAAATGCTAAGGGTAATATCTGGGCAGCGCTCCGTGACATAATATCAAATGCGAAATCTTCCAAAATGGATTTGGACATAAAGGGGCTTTTAACATATTGTAGTGTTGTAGGGTATCACATGGTCGTCCCAGCACGATTATAGCCTTTGCTTACTTGTTTTTATGTCTAGAATTATTTACAATGTTTTTTTTGCATTTTGAAGGTTTTGGTTCCAATTCCCAAAGTGATCAACTGGAATTTTAAAATTTGTCTTTGTCCCCCATATAACAGCATTTTTATGTCCTCTACCATAGTATAGAGGGTATATTAAGTTTGTCATTACGTTTGTAGTACCCCAAAATAAAAATTTTAGACCATAGCATAAAAGTCAATTGAAGCCCTAAAAATATAAATCTTAGACCTTAGCATAAAAATAAATGTCGATTTGACGATGTCTGTCCGTCTGTCTCTGTCCGGCTGTGGAAATCACTCTAACTTCTGAACGAAATGAAGTAGGTTGATAACATTTTGTTCACATGTGGGTTTTAGGTCTGCAAGACTTATGGTTTTGAAAATGGGCTATATAGGCCCACGTTTTAGTAAAAAGTTTTAGCCACAATTTTAACCCGAATTTACCATAAATTGGCAGCATGTGTTCCCATTATTAGAAACATCCTGGCATAGAACTGTCAATATAAGTCTAAGTTTTGGTATAGTCCCCATATAACTGTAATTTGTGTCACACTTTTCATCGGAAATGTTTCAAACTTGGAATTTGAAGTACTACATCCTATAACAGAAAATTTCTCAACAGGTGCACGTCTCCATATAGGCACAATACATCCATATATTCGGTATTTTGAAAATTTTAGCGACATTATTTAGCGCAATTGTATCCAAATAAGTATTTGAAGTTCCTAATTGGTACTATGATATAAAATGGGTATAAACGGTAAAAATTTAGATTTAGCTCTCATTTATATTCGTCCGATATTCCTTTTATTGCGCACCAAATGTGTAAAATTAGCCCGAATAGTAAGGAATTTTGCATATACAACTAAATTAGGCCTGCAAATAAGTATGCTAAATTTGATAGAAATTGATTCAGATATAGCTATAGCTCCCATATATATTGTTCATCCGATTTGTTATTTTTGTCCTCCGCAGTCGTAATATGCACTCTGTAATGTAATGTAATATTTAGGGAAATATATCAAATACAGCTCAGAAATACCTTTGCTATATTTTATCGAGATCGGTTCCGATTTCGATATAGCTCCCATGTATAACTTAGTCCGATTTACCTTTTATTGTGCACAAAACGTCTAACGAGATCGGTTCAGATGGGATGGGATGTCATATCTATTTGTATTGTATTAATTCTTTTCCGTAGTAATTATACCCTCAGTCATTTGGCTACAGAGGGTATATATCATTTGATACGGCCAAAACGTGCCCAGTCGAAATAACGGTTTTAGACTCTAGGTCTCTTTGGACCAAATCCGCTTCAGAACATTTGGAGTCGATCTAGCGTCCGTCCGTCCGTCTATCCGTCTGGCTGGTGCGCACGATAACTCTCGAAGGGAGTACCCGATTTGGTCCAAATTGGGTACATAGTAATATTTTTGTCAAACTTAGGTCGAGTTCCGAGACGGGTAATATCGGTCTACTCCTTCTGGTACCTCCTCCACAAAAGGTTGAAATTTTCACAAAATATATTTTTTGTACAGAAAGATAAAGGATAATCCGTATTTGCTCCAACTTTGCAAATCCTAAAATTTGCATCAGTTCTAGGTCAGGTGTGAAAATGGACAATATCGGTTCACTCCATCAAGTACCTCCCCCACAAATGGTCAAAATTTTGAATAATTACAACTCTCATAAATGTGATGTAAGAGTCCGACTGTCTTCAAATTTCACACATTAGTATTAACCCATAGTCTGGTGTGAAGGAGGAATACATCGGTCCACTCCTTCTGGTACCTCCCACACAAAATATTGAAATTTTGAGTACCCATGAAGCTCATAAAACGCCGAATTAACATCCGATTCCATTTAGACTTGGCACATCTGTCGCAATATTTATATCATATTTTTGGATCCGATAGGAAATGGGCAATATTGGCCCATTCCTTCGGGACCTGCCCCATAGAGGGTCAAACGTTTGTCAAAATAATAGTCAAAATATATTTAAATAATCGAACATAGGCTGAAGGTATATATCTGGCGGCAATACAGACTGATACTTTTTAACTTCTTTTATTATGAAAAGGGGGTTTTGTCTTCTTTTCATTCTCAAAACCTAAATGAAAGGCCAAAACATTGTGTTCCGAATCATCTATAGCCGTATTTGTTTTTTTTTTCAGAAAATAAATGTAGATTTCCTATATCTTTTCTGGATTGCGAGAATACGTGCAATTGGGGAATCTAATGCTAGCGTTAATGATTGATTATATGGTTTTACAAACAAATCCTTTCTTTAAAAAGAATGTCGGTCCTCTTATACAAATATTTCATTGTTTACAAACTTTTTTTGACGCAAATTTTGTTAGACTTTCTGTTGTGATTTTCCCAAAAACATATTTTCCCTTGTTTTCATTTACCTATTCACCCTGTCTCCGTTTTTTCAGCAACAACACACGTCCTAAGTCAATAATTAGTTTGACAACGAAATTCACACGATGATTTTTTACACTTCTTTGTTTTTTTTTTTTCAAGGGGGTTGTTTGTTTTTCTATTGAATTGGCCCTTAACACATTTTAGTCATGGGATCTAGAGATGGCATCGTTCAATCATTCATTTTAATTAGCAACAGTCTTAGTGGTTGTTTATTATCCTATTTTTTTCACTTCGCCTAGGAAAGCGTGATTGCTGAACAGTGTTTTGATATATAAAAAAGTTTACAAACTGCTTTACAGTTGTAATGCTATGCTTAACCATTTAATGTATTATTCTCCAGACTTGCCTGCGCCGAATGTGTTATATTAGTCCAAAATATGAAATTTGGTACATCCGACCAAATTCAGCATATAACCAGTAGAAAAGCAGTAAGTTCGGCCGGGCCGAACTTTGAATACCCTCCACCATTTGGAACGAAATCGAAAATTTCCAAAAAAATAAATTCCATTATAAATTCTTTTAAAATCTTTAAAATATCTAATATAGGAAGGTGCCGATATATGGGGGGGATATACGATATCGTGGACCGATATAGCCCATCTTCGAACTTGACCTGCATGCAGACAAAAGAATGTTCTGTGCAAAATTTTAGCTCCCTATCTTAATTCGTTTTGACTGTAGCCTGATTACAACAGACGGACGGACAGGGCTAAATCGTCTTAGAATTTTACGCTGATCAAGAATATATATACTTTGTTGGGTCTAAAATGATTATTTCGATGAGTAACAAACGGAATGACGAATTTAATATACCCTCCATACCTTTTTTGGTGGAGGGTATAAAAAAATGAGCTCGGATATAGATATTGCTCCCATATATATGCTTCAATCAATAGCAATGATATTTGGTATAATATATCAGATGCAGCTCTACCGATTTGATGTTGTTGTGCATCAAATGAAGTTTACATATACGACTGAATTGGCTTAAGAAGCGAGTACATCAAATTTGGCGAGAATCGGTTTGGATAGATTTTAAATAAGATCCTATCAAATTCGTGATTTACACTACATCATAAAAATATCCTCATCAAATTTAGTAAACATCGATAAAGATATAGCTTCCATAGGTTAGTTCTATTTGATGTCATATTTAAAACGCTCTAACGTTCTGGTGATATTTACTGCACATAAATTCGTGATACATGTAAGCGTATATTTGTAACAGATAGCTCTACTAAATATGCATGATTGTGTAGGGTATGATAAATTCGGCTTCGCGCGACGCATGTCCCTTATTTACTAGTTGAATTTTGAATAAAATATTTTGTGGATTGCTTATATAGTATTTCATAGAAATTGCGTAGAATCGATATAAATTTTCTTTTGTCAGAGTCAACCGCATTAGAAACATTTCCAATGCAATACCTGCAATAAAAGTTGAAAAAAAATTTTAATTAAAATACGTTTTTATTTTTATCAGACTGAAAATCACTTTCAAACCACTGTGAATGTTTCCCTTTTCAAAAAACGTACACCTCCTTTTTTTCTGGAGGTTCTCAATAATGATATGGTTTCATCAACTTCACGGGTATCGTTGCAAAATGTTGTCCTTGTTGTTATAATATAAATTTAACTAATGCTTGTTTATTCTTCCAATTTGTTGTTGTTTTTGTGTATTCTGCGCGCTCTTTGACACCACTGCCCTGCCTGAAGAACGGAAACGTTAAAGGATACAAGATGGATGTGTTTATAACGTGTGACGAATTTCTATTTATTTGCTCAGCTTTTTTTCTTTCTGTTTTTTTTTTTTTTGAAAATCATCCTGATGCTTTCGACACTTAATTAATGGGTGTATCCTTATTTTTATTTTATCGTTCCTTTGTTGTCCTTTTTTATGCCATGTCCTGTAGCGTTATATTGTGTTTTGTGTTTGATACTTTGGTTTTGAGTTCAAAACTAATAAGTCATTTCATAAGTGTCTTCATGAAAGGATTATGTGTTTCGCTTAACTCCTGCAGATATGTACGTAAAAAACTATGGATGCTGTTTATCCGATGTACCTAAAACTGTCAAAAGGAAAGTGAACATTTAGTTCGAGCCGAAGCGCATATAATAAGTACAAATTTCTAATTTACTTCAGTTAATGGGATATGCATGGGAGGGTATATACATACAGGGTTGTCCATATTCGACGGACCCATCTGGCAACGCCATAACTTTTGACAGAGATGTTACATCGCTTAATGACATACCGCGTTTGAAGCGTCAGTCCAAGCAGATTTTTACCATGAACCAATATACGCCACGCGAGCGCTCTGAAATAGTTGAAATTTACAGTCGGCCAAGAATATCGCTGCCGTACGGGCCTGTGTTGAGAGGTCCCCAAGAACATCCCAAAAACGCCGTTCTCAGCAGTTGGGCATGGCTCGGTCCACTTTACAACGGATTATTCGCATTGATTTGCATTTGTTCCCGTAAAAAATTCAATTGACGCAAAGAATGTTGCCTGTGGACAAGCCTCGTCGATTGGAATGGGCCCAAAGAGTCATCGAAATGGCCGTCGGTCCGTCGAATATGGGCAACCCTGTATTTCTTAATTTATTGAATTTAGGTTATTGACTTGAAACTTTTACTAAACTAACTAAATTGTTGGCAAATTTTAGGATTGCGTTATAAATATAATTATATTTTGACCTAAGACACAATTTCTAAACCAAAGCAAATATCAAACAGAAAAAAATGTTATTTTTTACCCACAAAATCTGTGCAAATCCTAATAACAGATGTAATGAAATTCACTACGATTTCTTAAAGACTTCTGTCATATGGCAAGAGGGAACATTCTTATAATTGATTTGCCAGCCAAAGCGTAGACGTTGAAATTGACATTGGTTACACTCATCAGAGAAGTTTCTGCAGATGAGCTATTGAAGACGAACAATAAAATACTGATTTCCGTTACTAAAGTAAATAAAATTTTTACCACCACCAAAATTCAGTTTTCAACACTTCACGAAATCGTTATTTCCGTTGTGTGATGATTTCACAAAGAATAAGGGTTTGACCTACCAAATGTGTTCAAGAAAGTACCATCCACGCTTTTCCATTATGAACACCCCAATTTTGATGTTACCCATGTGGTGTAATTTCAATTATAAAACAGGGCCGCTAAGAAAAGGCCACGAGTTCGACCCAGTTCTCATTCTTTCTATTGAAATCCCTTTAGGGTTTGTTGTGTACATATAATGTTTTTAGAAACCTAAATTTCGTTTATATGCTTTATCGCCCCATATTATACTCCCTATTATAGAATTAAGGGATTACGGAGAATTTGCTCAATATGAAACGAGTTAAAATAAATTTTAAATTTTAAGAACATTGCGGAATGTCCTTTAGTGGGAAAATTGTAACATTGGGTATATGGAAAAATATTAGATTATTAGAAGTTTACAAATATTTATACCTTACACTAAGTAGTGTGCATTGGTTTGCAAAATGGAGAAAGACGCGAGATAGACCCATAGACACTTTTGAAGATCTTCGATTTATGCATGTCACTCCGTCTGTCCGTCCGTCTGTCTGTCCATGTATTTTTGTGAACAAAATGCAAACAATATTTCTTTGACCCAAGGATAGACCCTATTGAAATTGGTGAGAATCGGTTCAAGTTAAGATATAGCTATATCTTCAATCGATTTCGGATTAGTTGTACATCAAATGGATATATTGTACCAAAATTGGATAGTTTTTTTTTTCATTATTTCGAATTTTACAATTTGGCGAAACTTGGTTCGGTATACCTATTGCTTCAATATTTTTTTATACCCTCCACCATACATAGTATGGAGGGTATATTAAGTTTGTCATTCCGTTTGTAACTCATCGAAATAATCATTTTAGACACAACAAAGTATATATATTCTTGAGCAGCGTAAAATTCTAAGACGATTTAGCCCTGTCCATCCGTCCGTCTGTCCGTCTGTTGTAATCACGCTACAGTCTAAACGAATTAAGATAGGAAGCTAAAATTTTGCACAGATCTCTCTTTTGTCTGCAGACAGGTCAAGTTCGAAGATGGGCTATATCGGTCTACGATATCGTATAGCCCCCATATAACGGTACCCTCCGATATTCGGTATTTTTAAGATGTTAGCCACATTTTCAATGGAATTGTCTGAAAATTCACACAAGTAGTTCCTTGTGAATACTTTACCCCCTGAGAGGGAATTCCCGGTATTCGGTATTTTTACGATTTTAGCCACATTTTTCAATAGAAGTGTCTGAAATTCCACAAAAGGAGTCCTTTGTGAGTATTCTACCCCCTGAAAAAGAATTGTCTGTATAGGCCCACGATATCGTATATCCCCCATATAACTGTACCCCCCGATATTTGGTGTTTTGATGATGTTAGCCACATTCATACAAGGAGTACTTTGTGGGTACTTTATCTCTCGAAAGAGAATATCTATATATGGTCCACGATATCGTATATCCCCCATATAACGGTACCCCCGATATTCGGTATTTTGATGATTTTACCCACATTTTTCAACGGAATTGTCTGAAAATCCACACAAGGAGTTCCTTGTGGGTATTTTATATCTCGGCTGAGAATTATCTCTATAGGTCCACGATATCGTATATCCCCCATATAACGGTACCCCCGATATTCGGTATTTTGATGATTTTACCCACATTTCCAAATCGTATTGTATTAAAATCTACACAAGGAGTTCCTTGTTGGTACTTTATACTTCGGCAGAGAATTATCTCTATAGGTCCACCATATCGTATAGCCCCCATATAACGGTACCCTCGATATTCGGTATTTTGATGATTTTAGCCACATCTTCAAATCGTATTGTCTGAAAATCCACCCAAGGAGTTCTTTGTGAGCACTTTACCCCCTGAAAGGGAATTGTCTATATAGGTGCACAATATCGTATATCCCCCATATAACGGTACCCCCCCCCCCCTTCATTCAGTAATTTGATGATTTTAGCCACTTTTTCCAATGGAATTATCTGAAAATCCACTCAAGGAGTTAATTGTGAGTACTTTACATCCAGACATAGATTTGTCTTAATAGGTGCACAATATTATGTATACCCCCATATATCGGCACATTCCTATATTAGATATTGTAAAGATTTAAACAAAATTTTATGGATTTAATTTTTTTGAAAATTTTTTAATTCGTTCCAAATGGTGGAGAGTTCGGCCCGGTTGAACTTACTGCTGTTTTACTTGTTTAATATAATCCTTATCGAAGTCTTATCATACACTATACATCAATCTTATTTGGTTCATAGTTGGTATGATCTACTTCACATAAATTACCAATATAAACTTTTTTGTTACGAGAGCTCTACTAAATGCGCATAGTGGTGTAGGGTATCATATAGTGGGGCCCGCCTGACTTTTGACTTTTCCTTATTTGTTATACCCTACAACGCTATGTGTTGGGGGTATTATAAGTTTGATTGGGCCAAAATTTATGTAACACCACGAAATATTGATTTCCCATATAGGAAAGTATATATGGATCTTCCTGGCTCGCCGAGCTGAGTCGATCTAGCTATGTATGTCCGTCCGTCTGTCCATGTTAATTTGTAATCACGCTACAGGTCGCAATTATGGCCCAATCCTAACGAAATTTTTCACGAAGGTGGGGTTAGGGTCAGAATAGAAGCCTATTTCTTTTGGAGATGATCGCCAAATGTTTAGGGGTTGAAATGAACCAAATACTGAAAAAATGTCGGATTTTGCAGTAGCTATACAGGTCGCAATTATAGACCAATCGACGCGGAATTTCGCATGTAGCTAGAGTTTAGGGCGGGGAAGAAGCCTACAAATGTGGATAGTCATCGGATAATATTTAGCGGGTAAAATAGACCATATCTTTGTGTTAAAAAAAATCAATTTTTTTCATTAAACCGCGAATATTTTAAATCCCGGCGAAATCACAAAGCCATGACAAGGTTACTCCTGATCTTTACATTGATGTTAACATCCAAAAAAACGGATATATGGCAAAATATGTGCGATATATATGTTTATCAAAGAAGATATGCTTGAAAGATCTCTTATATGTCGAGAGCGGCTGAACTGATTTTCACAGTTCTCATTAATTCAGAATGGCCTCTTGGCAGGAAAGAAAAAACGTCTAAAAAAATCGCATAAAAATATCTCTCTAAAGATGGAAATATTGATTTTGTAAAATTTTCTCATATTTTTTCAATTTTGTTATATTTTTGGCATATTTTCATTTTGAATTAAACATTTGGTAATATTTCTACAGCTAACAAAACTAAGTATTTAGGATATCAGGATATCATATACAGATCGCATTTATGGCCCGATCCTTACGAAATTTTGCATGGCGATAAGATGAGGGTCAGAATAGATGCCTACTCTTTTTGGAGATGATCGCCACATATTTAGGGGTTGAAATGGACCAAAAAACTGCAAAATTGTCAGCAGGTCGTAATTATCGCCCGATCCTCATGCACATTTGAATGGGAGTTACCGCACATTGCAAAAGCAGTTTCGGATGGCCATCCAAAAATATTCAATGTGTGAAATAGTTTGCGAACTTTTGTAACCAAAATACGAAAATGTCCATTCCAGTGACTTTTTGGAGAATTCACAAATAAAGGAAAGACGCACTTCTGACTATTTCGTTAAGGCTGATTTCGTTGAAGAATATAGTCAAATATCTGTATCTCATATAGATGCGTTTCAGTCAAAAACCAATAATAAATGTTAATCTTTTGCCACTTCTGAGATATTATAGGTCTTTGGGAAATATTGGTTCCAGTTCTAGGAAGACCATTTACGTGCAACATCTACCAATAAATAGGAAATGAGCAAATTAGATTAAGTTGCTATTATTCGAAAATTAGAGAACGGAACCTGATGGTTTTCTTTTATTATATGTCCCAATATCTTGTGGAATTCTTTCGTGTATCTCGCTTATATAAACTGTATCGTTTATCATAGTGTTGTAGGGTATTCAACGGTCGGCCCCGCACAACTGTAGTCTTTGCTTACTTGTTTTGTTATAAATATATGAAGAATGTTAGCTGTAAAATCCAAGGCCCTATATAAGACATTTTTCGTCCCTGCATAAAACATTCTCTAACGGTCACATACATATTTGTCAGACTGTATGTTATAAAATTAGTTATGGATGTATTTATTTGTCAGGAAATTGCAGTTGATTTTTGATTCTTGACGCTATTGCAGAGCATTGTAATGTTGTAAGTGAGAATGTTCAAGACTTAAGTGCTGTTGTACAGGCAAAGAAATTAAAGCATGAAATGTGCGGGTGACAGCGTCTAGTCCTGGGCAAGACCGTAGTTAATTCGTAAAACGATTCAAGTTACAAGTCAGTAGAATTTTGGGAGAATGACTCATGTTATAAGTCCGTAGAAATTTGGGGGAAATAATATTTTGTAAATGCATAATTCATTTATAACAATTTACAACTTATTTTTTAATAGATTTGGCACTTTGAACATTAAGTGAACATATTTCTGTGACGGTTTGTTTAACCACCACAAAGCAATTTGAAAAACGATTTGTCGTACTTTTCTTCTGTTGAGGGTATGACAGTTTAACTCTTCATGATAAAAAATTGTAAAGCTGTTTAAAATGAAATACACAGCGTTCGACTAAAGTAAAAACTGGTAACATGTGCAAAATTCTCTTCAGGTAACAAAATTCTGGACAATTTAAAAGAGAAGATAGGCGGCAATTTTCCGCTGAAATAAAATATTTAAAATTTTTTTACATATAACTATAGGCCATTCGTACAGTTTTTCCTGGTGTTTTTTCTTTCCTCTTAAAAAGGATTTCCTTTTTTTAAAAGGTTTTTGAGTCTAGAAGGTAGTATGTCAAATTTGGTGAAGATCGGTTCAGTATAGCTATATCTCCCATATATACTGTTCATCCGATTTCTTATATTTGATATTTACACACTACTACACTACGCACTACTATAGCCTTTGCTTACTTGTTATACCCTCCACCTTGGAAAGGAGGGTATATTAACTCCGTCATTCCGTTTGTAACATTCTTAAATATTCTTCTTAGACCCCATAAAGTATATATATATTCATAATCAGCATAAAATTCTAAGTCGATCTAACGATGTCCGTCTGTCTGTCTCTTAAAATCACGATACAGCCCACATTATTTGACGTAGAGCGCCAAAATTTAGCAGAGCTATTTGCATTGTGTCTAAGATGGTTGGCATTGAAAATGAATATAACGGTACCTCCCGATATTCGGTATTTTGATGATTTATGCCACATTTTTTCACGGATTTGTCTGAAAATTGGTATTTATAGGTCATAACGGGTCCCTGAGCGTGTGGCAAAACATTGCATGTATAGGTCCACGTTGTGGTATAGCCCCCATATAAAGGTACCTCCCAATATTCGGTATTTTAATTTTTTTTGCCACATTTTTTCACGGATTTGTCTAAAAATTGGTATATGTGGGTCATAATGGTTTCCAGCTCCGGTGGCGAAACATTGCATGTATGGGTCCATGATTTGGTATAGCCCCCATATAACGGTACCTATCGATATTCGGTATTTTGATGGTTTTTGCCACATTTTTTCACTGATTTGACTAAAAAATGGTATTTGTGGATCATAATGGGTCCTAGTTCGTGTGGCGAAACATTGTAATTATAGGTCTATGATTTGGTGTAGCCCCCATATAACGGTACCTCCCAATATTCGGAATTTTAATGGTTTTTGCCACATTTCTTCTAATGTTTCTTTTACCCTAAGGTGGAGGGTATTAAAAGTTTGGCCCTACCGAACTTAATGTTTTTTTACTTGTTTTATTTTGTAATTTTGTTAATTATTGAATTAAATTTCGTAAAAAACCATAGAAGTGTAGGTTGATTTAAAACAACAAGAACACCCTAATTTCCTTTCAACGCAGACTATTTGTTACTTTAATTTACACTTTTAACAAAAAAAAAAAATAATCTGATGTTTAAACAATGTTATTTTACGTAAAATATTGAAACTGTGTAATAAACTTTTAAATATAATATTAAACAAAACATAAAATGTCTCCCTGAAAAAAGAACTAATCCACCTAAAGAAAATTATCCTTCTTTAGTTATTGACAAGAAGTTTGGTAAAATACTTATTTTGAATACCAATAACAAATATTGAAATTTAATGTCAAATAATGTAGTAATAACATAAAAAGAAGCGGAAGTCATGGGAAATGCGGATAACAGCAGGTCGCCAACTCTAATCAATTTTTGGTTTGACTGTCATTTATACTCATATATCTCATCCCTAACTCTTTGTGTTTCCAGAACAACCATGATTATCGCAAACTTTTCATACACAATGTTTTCTTTCATATGTTACAATGTTATCGCCTAACGAGTATGAAAAACTAACAAATGGAAAAAACTTATGAGAAATGTTGAAACTTGGTCGCTTAGAAGAAACAATCGGTAAAAAGAAGTCGTGAAGACAGACGGTACAAGAAAAAGAGCAAATCATAAAGTATGATACATTTGTCACTAGATTATGTGCTATCCCCCGTACCCAACATGGCGAAGTAAAAGAATCAAAACAGAAGGCTAAAAAATCCGTAGATTCGTTGCCAAGCAAATACTTCCTGAAATATCGACCCCTACAATCGCAATGGAAAAATGAGAAAAAGAAAATTGGCAAAAGAGAATATAGAAATGTATATAGAGCAAACGGCACATGTGTTAGGGCAAACTAATATCAATTATGCGTGTGTTTGAGAGACACCCTTACACCATTCAGCAGTTTCTACGAACTGTGGTCAAAGGACTAATTCTTCATGATTAAATGTAATATTAGATTAATTAAATAATTTTGTTGGGCTTAATATAAAATAAATACATTTTTTAATATGTTCTCTTACAACTATAGTTGTGAATTTTTGTGAATATCTGTTGAAGGAATGCAAGGATGTAGGGTAATCCGAAATGAAAGAGTAATATTTGGGGGTTTAATAAGGGGCGCATTATCAGAGTTTAAGTTGTTGATTTTGAATTAAACATGAAGACACACCATAGTTATTTATAATCACATTTTTTTAGGAATATCTTAATTATATTCGTAGATTTATTAGCAGTACTTCTGAAGCACCTGGATTTATAACAAAATTTCGAGATGAAATCGATTAACGATTTAAAACCCACTTAAGCTATAATAATAAATAAATGTTTAGAACAAACATCCAAGCTATACATGTGAGGTATCTGAACTTTAGTCGTCAGCTTATCTGAGTTTTAATTGTTGGTAGGTAAGGAATGACTAAACAAGTAAACAAGCAGTAAGTTCGACAGGGTCGAACTTTGAATACCCTCCACCATTTGGAACGAATTAGGACATTTTCAACAAATGAAAATAAAATCCATTAAAAATTCTGTTAAAATTTAGGAAGGTGCCGATATATGGGTTGATAAACGATATTGTGGACCTATATAGACAAATCTATGTCTAGGGACAAAGTACTCACAAATAACTCCTTGTATAGAATTTAAGACAATTCCGTTTAAAAATGTGGCTAAAATCATCAAAATATCGAATATCGGGTGGTACTGTTTAATGTGGACTATATGATATCGTGGACCTATATACATAATTCTCTTTCAATGAATAAAGTACTCACAAGTAACTCGTTGTGCAGACTTTCAGACCATTCCATTGGAAAATGTGACTAAAATCATCAAAATACAGAATATCGGGGGATACCGTTATATGGGGGCTATACGATATCGTGGACCTATATAGATAATTCTCAGCCAAGAGATAAAGTACTCACAAAGAACTCTTTGTGTAGAATTCCAGAAAATTACATTTGAAAAATGTGACTAAAATCATCAAAATACCGTTATATGGGGGATATATAATATCGTGGACCTATATAGATAATTCTATTTCAGGGGGTAAAGTGCCCAAAAATAACTCCTCGTGGGGATTTTCATACAATTTCATTGAAAAATGTGACTAAAATCATTAAAATATCGGATATCGGGGAGTACCTTTATATGGGGACTATACGATATCGGTGACCGATATAGCTTATCTTCGAACTTGACCTGCCTGCAGACTAAAGAAAAATCTGGGCAAAATTTTAGCTTTCTGTCTTAATTCGTTTAGCCTGTAGCGTGATTACAACAGACGGACAGACAGACGGACGGACGGACAGGGCTAAATCGTCTTAGAATTTTAAGCTGATCAAGAATATATATATACTTTGTTGGGTCTAAAATGATTATTTCGATGAGTTACAAACGGAATGACGAACTTAATATACCCTCCATACTATGTATGATGGAGGGTATAAAAACGAATAATTTTGAAGTACGCCTTTTATAAAAAGTAGCGGTATCGTGTGCCCTTCGCACCACCAAGTTAAGATAAATAGAAATGAGATTAATGATAATATTCAAATATACAGAATCAGTTTATATAAAATCATGTTAACATACCTTGAATTCTTACATATATTTGACATTTGGATGTATATTCCATGCGAAAATCGTGAGTATTTTCCAAGTTCCAAGATTCCTTTAGATTCCTATCCCATATATAATTGTCAATAATGCTTCACGTTTTGTTTAACGTTCTGCATAAATATATCGTCATCTTTTGACTACATTTTAAATCAAACTTACTGTGATTCTACATAACTCCTTAATTTGCATTGTATGATGTTGATCTCTTGTGATTGTACTTGTTCCTGGACTCTGACCATATTTTCCAAATTTTGTCGTATATTGGCCGAATATGACATACGGGATTCTTCATTCCATATATAACGATTCCGTTTAGTTTAGATATTTCATTGCACTTTGTTAAAATTAACTTTTCGTGTTTCCATGGTGTAGCGTCTTTTATATATTCAATGCTAAATTTTTGGTTCCAATTTTTTCTTGACTTTCTAGTTTTTAATTTACAAAATAATTTGTCTATTTGAAATTTTATTACAGGCCTACATTAATTTCACACTGTTCAAAAATAATTACTATTCCCAATATGGCAAAAAGAAAGCATTTTTGTGAAACACTTCCCTCCGGAATTGTATCAAATTTGGTATTTGGAGTTCGTAACTGAACCTTCCGATTTTCGGTATTTTCAAGTTTTTGGTGGCATAGTCACGGCCTCAAGTCCTTCCAAATTGTGGAGGTTATATACAGTTCGACTTGGCGAATTTAGCTTTTTGTTATTATTCTTAGAAGGCGCACTTCGCACATTTTTTAATGTTTTAAAAGCACGTTGAGTTTTCACAATTGACTTCTTCTGTTGAATGTAAATTTCAACTATTTTAGAGCGCTCGCGTGGCGTGTATTGGTTCATGGTAAAAATCTGCTTGGACTGACTCTTCAAACGCGGTATGTCATTAAGCGATGTGACATCTCTGTTAAAAGTTCTGGTGTTGCCAGATGAGTCCGTCGAATATGGGCAACCCTGTAAAATGCTTGTATCTCAAGAATGGCTGTACCGATTTTGATAAATATTTTCAATTCAGAATGCCCTCTTGGCATAAAAGTATAAAATCTAAAAAAATCGCATAAAAAGATGTAAATAATAATGTTAATATAGGTTTTGTAATATTTTGTGACATTTTTTTATTTTTTCATATTTTTATCGCATGCGATTTTTTCAATTTGACTTAATATTAAAGTGTACATTTTGCAATATTTTTTCACCTTACAACACAGTTTGGGGTTATATATTGTTATATAGATTGCTATTATCCGATCCTCACGAAAATTTTCACAAGGGTAAGGTTCAGAGGGGGTAGACCTATTGGTTTTAAAGATGTCCGCAATATTTTTGGTGGTTGAAATGGACCAACAACTTAAAATGTTCCTGGTGTTGCAGCCGATATAAAGGTCACAAATAGAAACCAAAGGACACGAAATCTCGCATGAAATTCGAGATTAGGACGGCGAGTAGAATGGACCACTACTTTTATGTGAAACAATACAAGCATTACTTACAGGCGATATCCGAAATACACAAAAGGCGAACTTCTAACATTTTTATGCTGATTTCGTTGACGAATCCAGCGTTTTTGATGGAAAATGGACCACAAATCCACACAAATGGAAAATCTTCCAAAATCGATCTATATATAAGGGGGCTTCTAACATATTGTAGTGTTGTAGGGTATCACATGGTGGGCCCCGCACGTCTATAGCCTTTGCTTTCTTGTTTTGAGTTTTTTTTTTTTTTTTTTTTTTTGTATCAGCTACTTGTCAATAAAAAAATGTAAACAAAATAAAAATGTAATGGTAAACAGCCAAAATAGAGGTATTGTAGTAACATACTGGGTAAATTTCAAAGCCTGAGTAAATTTAAAAAGAATACTGTTAGAAAATATTAGCTTAATGCTACAATTGTTTATAAAAAGTATATATCCATGCAACTGAAGTTTTATTGTGTATTTAAAATATTTTTTATTGCCATTCAGGCCATAGTTTGAATTTTCTAAAAATATGAGTTCAAATATATTAATAATAATGTAAAAATCTTTTTCATTACGATTTTTACATCAGATATATAGTTATGGTTTTAGTAACAATATAAGAGAGGTTTGTTAGGGAGCTTAAATTCGATTCTTATAGTTTAATGTGGCTTATTTTTAAATAGTCCTCTTTTAATAAGCAAACGGAATGTGAGTTCTAGTCGTTATATTCAGCTCTAATATCCACCTTTTCGTTTGCAAATTGGGAGATATTACCATTTTGTGCTGTACTTTCAAACTTACCCACGGTAATCCTGTTCACAGTCCTTTATTCTTATTGAAATCAAATCATCTTTGTCAAAGGTCTAAAACAATCCTACGAAAATTATGTATAACTTCTTATGTTATGTTTGTATTTGCAGGTTGCTTTTTTCAAAGTTTACCATCCATTCTTCATACCCCAAAGCAACAACAAAAGTGGATTTTTGCTATTTACATATCCCTTAGCAAATGTAATAGTTAAAGGCAACAAATTTACACCAGCTGCGAACTCTGGCAAGATTAAAAACCAAACATAAAAAATCATCGAATTCACCCCTTAAAAAGAGCTTAACCCTCCTCTTTCCCATTTGATACATTTTCTTTTGCACTGCTGTACCCGCTTTAGCCCCTGAAATAATCAGCTTAACACCATGGACCAAACGTTGCCCTTAGAAGGAGAGCCAGAAGATTTCCCTTCCTGATAATCTATTTTGAAAAGTAATAAAATGTGTTTTTGAGGAAAAGAAATGTTATTGTATTAACAGCTGATTTGATTTTTTGAATATACGTATGTTAATATTAAAATACCAACCTGAGTGAGAGATATCAAGAAAATAATCTGTATAAATGAATACCAGTATGGGCTGATAAAAGCCGGTACAGGTGGATGCCTATTTAATGTAAAACGAACCTCTGTGTTTATTAGAACATATACAAGGCTAACTTTAAAACATATTAAAGTCAAATCAAGAAGGAAAAACGACGGATTGGGTTAACTATACAACATCTATGGATGCGGCCAGCTTCACAAGATACTATCAAAAAATGCTATGTCCATTGTTACCATCAACTAAGAATATGCCAGCTAAAAATTCGTTAGAAATCGGGGTTCTAACCAACTCGAAATAACTCTACAAATAAGTAGTTATCTTTTGTAGTAACTAAAATCAAAAAAACAAAAAAAAAAAGAAAACAAAAAAGTGCGACCCTGAACCGACGGTTGAATTCGATATTGAGCATATATCACCAATTCAATTGACCTCATGCTGCGTGAAAAGTACTTCACAGTCAACCTTGAATTCAATTCTAAATTTCAGTCCCTGGATTTTCTGGTTTAATTTAAAGCCGCCACTAGTTCTTTGTAACTACCATAGTTAGGGGTATGGAGCTGTGAATAAAGGTTGTGACTCATTATTTTTTGCAAAATTACTCGAATAAGCGTACATAAATAAACCTACTTTGATTTTGATTCTGTTACAAGGTAGGGTTTATTTATGGGTGATTTCCTTCCTATGGATGCTTCGATATGATATTTTTGCGATGCTTCGACTACATATATGTGAAGGCAGTGAAACAGACTTTATGTGGTCTATATCCTTATAACAGCTCCAGTTTATTTAAAAACAAGTAAAAAAGCTGGCCTGGCCTGGCCGAACTTTGAATACCCTTTGGAATTTGACAACTTTCAAAGAAAAATAAAATACGTTAAAAATTCTGTAAAAATCTTAAAAATACCAAATTTAGCCGTTATATTAGGGTCTAAACAACGACGTGGACCTGCATAGGCAACTTTTGTCATAAGCCATTACAATATTATAATAAAATTTTAAAAGGACTGAAAATGCAAAACTCTGAAAAAAAAACAAGTCAGAAAAGGCTATAGACGTGCGGGGTCGACTATGTTATACCCTACAACACTACAATATGTTAGAAGCCCTTTATCTCCAAATCTATTTTGGAAGATTTCGCTTTTGAAATTAGGATTTTGACTAGGGACATTTGCCCAACATTTATGCACTCCATCGTGTTGTAGTCCATTTTACAGATAAATATAATCCAATGGTCATCCAAAATGCTAGAATTCTTCCCTGTCACAGGCGTGTCGATTAGCTTCAATTGTATGATCGGAAAAACATTTTTGTTTTCGGTTAATTTGAACCCCTAAATATTTTGCAATCACCTCCAAAAGCCCCTCTGTATCTCCAAATTTAGACTCATCTATATGATTTGCTATATTCGTCAACGAAATCAGCATAAAAAGGCAGAAATTCGCCTTTTGTGTATTTCGGATATCGCCTGTAAGTAATGCTGGTATTTTTTCACACAAAATTAGTGGTCCATTGTACCCGCTGTCCTAACTCTAACTTTATGTGAGATTTCGTGTCCTTTGGTTTCTATTTGTGACCTTTATAACGGCTGCAAAATCAGTAAAATTTTTAGTTGTTGGTCCATTTCAACCCTTAAATATATTGCGGACATCTTTGAAAACAATAGGCCTAGCCCTTCTGAGCCCAACCCTACCGTTGTGAAAATCTTCGTGAGGATCGGACGATATTTGGAATACTTATATAATATCCCCAACCTGTGTTGTAAGGTGAAAAAATATTACAAAATATTATAAGTCAAATTGAAAACATCGCATGCGATAAAAATGTGAAAAATAAAAAAAATGTCACAAAATACTACAAAATCTATATTAACATCTTTATTGGCATATTTTTCGGCAATTTTTCGATTTTATACTTTTATGTCAAGAGGGCATTCTGAATTGACAAAATTTTTCAAAATCGGTCCAGCCATTCTTGAGATATAAGCATTCTAACTAACATCCGCTTCCTTTGTATATACACATTGTATATATTTCGCTATGTATAACCAATATATTTACTATCGGCATCTACGTAACGGTCAGAATTGACCTGTTCGTCCATTTGCGATTTCGCCGGGATTAAAAATATTCGCGGTTTAATGGAAAATTTGACTTTTATTTAACACAAATATCGTGGCCTATTTCACCCACTGAATATTACCCGATGACCATCAAAATTGGAAGGCTTCTACCCAGCCCTAAGCTCTAGCCCCATGCTAACTTCCGCTGTGATTGGTGTATAATTGCGACCTGTAGAGCAACTGCAAATTTTTCAATTTTTGGTCCATTTTAACCCCTAAATATTATGCGATCATCTCCAAAAGAAATAGGGTTCTATTCTGACCCTAGCCCCACCTCCATTCTAAATTTCGTGAAGATAAGGCCATAATTGCGACCTGTGGAGTGATTACATAGCTAGATCGACTCAGCTCGGCGAGATAGGAATATCCATATATACTTTCCTATGTGGAAATATCCATATATACTTTCCAATATTTCGAGGTGTTACATAATTTTTGGGCCAATCAAACTTATAATACCCCCAACACATAGTGTAATACTAAATATATATTTTTAGAGGTATTATTTTAAATTAAAAA